AACGTTAAATAACATGTGAAATGCTACAAAAAGTTTAATATAATATTGAACTAGATTTCTTTCTAAAACCTTTGGACTGCCCCCATATTTCACAGTGTTAGACTGAAGCTCCCATCTTGCCTCATTTCTTAAGGCATTTCAAGTAGTTTGTAATCCGCTGTAGAATATTTATGATTAATTCATTCTTAATCATAGAACAATGAACGTACCCACCACTGTTTTTTCAGCAAATGTAATGCATGATTAGGGTGTTACGGTTGTAATAGGTGAGTAATACATCAGATCCATAAGAGGAGCAAGTTATGAAGTCAGTTGCCCACTCTGACATACAGTCCCTGTCTTGCTCTCTCCATCATTTCAAAATAATAAAAAAAGGCAGTGACTGTGTGAGAGAATATCTACTGTGGCCTCAGAGATCTAATGGCTCTCAATCACCACCGGTTCAAAAACACCCGCAGACACCCTGCCAAAGAATAAAAGAACCATATCAAACATGATATTATAACAGTCAAATACAAAATACGCTACTGAAAATTCAGCTTTGCCAAATCAGGAATGAATTACATTTAAACCATGTTAAAATAGAAAACAGATTTTTAAATTGCAAGAATATTTCAGAATATAACTGTATTTACTGTATTTCTGAAAAAATGTATTCAGCCTTGGTGCACATAAGAGGAAATCAGATTTATAAAAAAAAAAATCTTACAGACCCCAAACTTTTTAATGATAGTATAAATACACTGTAAAAAAATATTTTTAGTAGTTGTAAATAAAACAAAGATTAATGGAGTATGATTTTCAAAAAAATACCAGTTGTTCTACTTCAAATTTAACTCAATGCCATTTCTTTGAAATTGTTTGTGAAATTGACTAGCCATTTCTGAGTGAAAATAGCTTCTATACCATTTTTTTCAGTGTAATAAGCAAAGGAATAATCCAATTCATATATTGTACATTTATAACCAGAACACTAAATTAAATGGCATACAAAAAGAGCACCAGTTTACCTGTTGACAAGCTGTATGCCACTTAATGCTGTGGTGCCATCCCTACTGACGAACAGAGTTAAATTGCTGTCTGTGAAGTGACAAAACAAAGAGTGACAAAATGATCAGCTTTAGTGATGTGAAGGCTTCACAAGTGGGTAAAACCCTCATATATGTATCAGTAATTAAAGTGTTGAACTAAAATAAGCTTAAGAGGAACTAAATAGTTAATACCGCTAACAAATTTTTTCTCCACCCACCTTCATTGTTGCTGACATCCGCAAAGTTCTGACTCTGCACAATCTTCTCCACAATATCATCTGCATCAATGCGTGTGTCGTCCACCCATGTGGGATGGTTCTCAACAGTGTCCTTCTTTCTCCTGCATAGATATAAAGATACTTCTTATCTTAACTACATGCCATTTTTGCTTGTGCAGTTCCACATAAAACAACAAAGACTTTTAGTATCTTGGTGTTGCTGGTGACTCCCCACCTTGAGGGTCTGTTTGGGGGCAGAGCAGGTCGTGGGGGACGTGGGGGTCTCTCTGATTTTACCACTTCTTTCTCCGGCTCTACGGGGCTCTCGATAGTTGCAGACGTTCCTCCTGATGTGTTGCTGCTGCTGGTGGAGGTGTTCCGCCGGTGTTGGGACAGATCTGTGAGGCTGGAGGAGTGAGAGTGCTCCGTACTGTAGCCTGCGTGGAGGACAAGCACATCCCACAAGACTTAGGGTGAGCAGCAGTTCTTGTGACCATAATAAGCAGTGTTGTGAAAGAACGTAAAAAAAGAAAGAAAATTGTTCAAAAGAACGTAAGAATTTAATTTTCACTTTAACTTTTTAGCCTCTTAGGTTTTACACTGCAGTTCAAAGGTTTTTTTGAAAGAAATTAATATTCAGACAAGGATACACTAGATTGATGAAAAAGTGACAGTAAAGACATTCATATTGTTACAAAATATTTCTATTTGAAATAAACACTATTCTTATTACAGGATTTAATTACATTTAAACATATTTCAAATAGTAAAAACAGTAATATTGTGAAATATTATTACAATTTAAA